ATATATATATATATATAAAATTAAAAATGATAATTTGTACTAAAATAATTAGTTCAAGTTGTAAAATATTATTTATAGTCATTTCAAGCATATTTTTATTGATCCTTCTTAATATTCAATTTCATAGATAATTTTGTTATTTTAATGTGCGGTTATAAAATATAGTTAGTGACTTCTTTTAAGATAATTTTTTTATATAGTAAAAATTTATTAAAAATTATAAAAGTACTGAAAGGAAATATGAATAATACAAAACAAACAAACAATTCAATTAATTATTGTTATAAAATAAATTAATAAATATTAAATAGAAATTTAGAAAATGAGAATGGTTAAACTAAGAGAAAGAGTAAAAGAAAAATAGAAATATTTAAACAACGTGGAAAACATTTGTAAACACTATCAGATAAATGTTTTTGAACACAAACCTCAATTTTTTGTTGTTTGCATTCAGCAAAAAGCTCACTAAACAATGATAAAATGTTTTCTACATCTTTTAAAATTAATTTGCATCTTAACAAAATTCAAACATGTATTAAAAAAATTGATAATCCAAAAATTAAAAATATGACTCTGTCTCTAAATCTGTCTCTACTTTGAATTAGAGAGTATCAAGAAACAAAAATAATTCTATCTCTAATATATTCATTTCAGTCGTCTCTAATTTCTTCAAAATTAATAAAAATAAAATTATGAAATTTAAAAATATATAGAGAGGGAATTAGAGATGATTAACTTTTTGTCTCTAAATTCATAAAAAAATATATCTCAAATTCAATCTCTAAATCTAAAAAAATGTGAAATTAATATTAGATATCTATGGATTGGAGATGGCTAGTTTAATGATGAAATTTATTTATTTCTCAACTTATTTGTAACATTTTTATTTTTAAAAAATTAAAATTTTGTGATGGATAATGAAAGAAGTCGAGACAGATTTTGTGATCCCTTTTTTAGAGATATATATAAACCATCCCTAAATTTGTCTTCATATTTTAAAATATTTTTTAAATTAAACCCGTGTTTAAAAATATAATTAGTCTCTATTAGAGACAACAATTAGCCTGTCTCTAATTTCCATATCTATTATAATAATTTTTTGTAGTGTTTAATTGATGACTTAAAGATCATGTAGAAGTCAAGTTTAGAGGTATATAATGGGTGTAAGGAAGAAGGATTTAATTTAAGAGCTATGCCTCTCCGTACAATCAATAACTTATTTCCTATTTATGTTAATATGTTAGGGTATATTATAAAATGGCAACTTAACTGCCCTATTTGTGAAGATGTCACACATTCTACAAAACTACAACATGAGGTGAAAAATGTTTACTTTAAGAATAGCAAATTTTTACATCAAAAACATTATTATCAACAGTTGAGAAAAACTTTTAATGAAAATCCAAAAAAAAGTAAGCAACTTTTGCCATTAATAGGTGATGAGCTTTTTAAAAAGATTAAAGATTTGGACATTGAATTTGACAAATTTTTTGTGAGGCACCTAAGGACAAGTGGATGGAAGAAGAGATTTAATTTTTTTTTTTTAACTCTCTTATTGGTCCATCTTGAATTTTAGTGCATTTCAATAATTTAAGATCTTCAATTGTCATTAATATCTTTATAAAATTCCTAATTGTCATTTTAAAAAAATAATCTAGATTTTGTTTTTTCAGTACCTTCCCTATAAAATAAAAAAATACTTATTTAAAGCATAGAAATTCTTATCACTCACAGTAACTTAACATTATTTTAATTATAATCACTTCACCTGTAATTTTGACTAGCAAATTAGTTTATGATGGCTGATTCACGTTTTGGTAACATTTAGTTAATTTCTTAACTGTTTTTTTCAATTTAATAAAATACAGCTGTAAATCAATCAGTTGTAATCCCAACGTACACCATCGTCCGGCTCAAGAGCTCTGGGGTGGCTGCTGGTGGATGAGTGAAGATCACTTTGTTGCTTCACCAAACTTGTACTCGTCTAATAATTAGTATGACATATGCAAAAATGTTATAGGTGACGTCACTCAAATTCATCAATTCAAAATTTAATATAAAATATAAAAACAAGACAAATTACAGTGACACCTTTGGACTAAAATTCATGACACGCAAATATTGTAAAATTTTAAATTTTAATTAATTAAGGACTTTGTTTCTTTTATTGAAATAAAAAATTAATTGATAAAAATATCCTTACGTACATAACCCCTCTGTCTTTATATATATAGTATTTTAAAAAAATTTATTGTCTTTAAATATATGAGCTGTTATGATATTTTTAAGTAATTAAATAATTTTATTTTTGTCTTAAAAAAGAGAATAGATATTAATTGATACTTAACTTACCATCATCATGATACTAATTGAAATTATTAGAGGCAAAATTAAAATTTATTGTAATTTAATATAATTTTAATTAAATAACAAATTTTTATTGATATAATTAAGTTAAGAATTTATGGAGTTAGATTAGAAAATATTTTCATTTTTGTTCTTCTTCATTGTGTTCTTCTTCTTCTTCTTTTTGGATAGGGTAGGGATCGAAATGAGCTGGATCAGGGTTTTTTAAGCTTGAACCAGTAAGATAAGCTAAAAATTGAACATGGGCTCCTCCTCATATGGTTTGAATAAACCTAGTTGCATAATCAAATGATGAGTTCAGGGTCTTTTCAAAATGAAAGATTAAAAAAATAGAGACGAAGAAAAATGGCAGACTTGCATGATAGGAACAAATATGAGATTGTTACTGTTGTAAAACAATATAGAAAATATAAGAAAATGACAAGAAAAATATGGGAGCAACCATGTTGTAGTTCTACTAGGTGCTGCTACTCTACTAATTGCTTGTGCAACTCTTCTACATTTTTAAGGGTAAATTATTGCACTTATTTTCAAAATTTTAATTTCTTCGTTCCTCCCATGTGTTACACGTGGTGGGTGGGTGGCTTTTATGGCCATAAACTCTCCCCATACGATAGAAGTGGTTGATGGGTGGCTTTCATAGCCATTAACTCCTAGCATAGCATTGTGAAAGTTTTTTAAATGCTTTTAGGTTAGATGTGTTCGTATTTAATATCTAATTATATTTTAAATAAAATTATCTTTAATAAAAAATATTTATAAATAAAAAAATATATGGGGAGAATGATAGAAAAATTTCAAAAAAAATTAATTAATTCAACTTAGATCTAAATGTTAAATGTTAAAAATTTACAACTTATTTTTTAAATATTAACATTATTAAAAAATAAATAAATTTATTTTTCCTATTAAATTTTGGGCACAAGCTGTAAATACATCGCAAGGAAGTTGTAAAAGTAAGAGTCAAATTTGTAAATTTTTAAAGCTTGATATCTAAGACTTAAGTTAAATTAATTGACCATCTTAAGACCTATTTTTCATTTTTTTCAAAATTTAGTGTAAATAAAGATCTTAGTCTAAACTTATTAAAGGTTTGGTTTTAATTTTTTTTTTATGCACGCCTTTAAATAGGCTTACAGGCTTTAAATTAAACCTATCAAGGCTTAAATATATTATAAGTAACACAAAATATATTATAATATATTACTTTATTATATATATGTTATATATATATGAGCCCTGAATATTATAATAATATATAATTTGTGAAACACGTCTATTTGATTGAATTGGAGCTAGACTTTAATATATGGCCTGTTTGAATAAATACTCCCCCTAGAGAACATCTTCTAAAAATATTTTTTAGTGGTTAATATATGTTTTTTAATATTATTTATATTTAAATTTATTAATTATAAAAATATAATGTAAATTTAAATTATATATTATTTAAATATGGATAAAATTAAAAAAAATTATATTTTTTTAAAAAATTAATAATTTAATAATTTTTTATTTTTATAAAATAGTTAAAATTGTTTTATAACACAAACAGAATCGAGTAGTATTGCAGCAAGGTTAGGCCTCCACACTTCGATGAATCCAAACATGCATGCCCTCTCTCTCCCGCACCCCATTATTGCTCTTCCTTGCCAAAAAAAAAAATTCTTTCCCATGTCAAATCCCAAGAAAATTAAATTCTCTTTAATAATGTTGACGCGAAATGTACGTGCCTTTCATCTCAGAAATTTATTTATTCCCTCCTTATATCTTTTAAAAATTTTATTTTATTTAAAATAAAAGATGATTAATACTTCCGTTTGAATATTTTTAATTAAATTTATTTTTTTAATAAAGTAATTATTTAATTTTTAATTAATTATATTTTTTTTATATTTATTTTTATTAAATATCTTATAATAAATAGAAAGTTATTATCAATAGAAATACTTTTGAAATAAAGACAATGATTACATTTTAAAAAATTAAAAATATTTTATATTTTTAAATATCTAACTCCTCAAAAAATATCTTTTACTTTTCAATAGAGGAAATAGCTTATTATAATTATTTTTAATTATATCTCTATTTTATTTATTATTTTTTAAATAATAACATACTGAAATTTTAATTATTATTATCAAAATATTTATATAAAATATTTAATGAAGATAAAATTATAAAGATACTCCCTCTGTTAAAAAATATAAAGTATTTTTTGAGGAGTTAAATATTTAAAAATATAAGGTGTTTTTAGTCTTTCAAGGTGTAATCATTATTTTTTTTAAGTGACTTATTGGTAATAACTTTATATTTATTGTAGGGTGTTTAATAGAGATAAATATGAAAAGATAGAGTTAGTTAAAAAGTAAATAACTACTTTATTAAGAAGTTAGATTCAATTAAAAAAATTTATATTTTTTAATGGAAGGAGTATAATTTAAAAAAAAAACTTAAAAATTTAACTACCTTTTTTGAGAACTGTATATTGGTTTTTAATATTTTATATTTTAATAAAAAAAAGTATTATTCATCTCCCGCCACCGGAAAGATCTACTAAACATCGAGGCACCCTATTGTGTCGTCTTCTATATCATCCAACAAAGATCCCGAACCCAAACACCCACGCACGCCCGCTCTCTCTCTCTCTCTCTCTCTCACATTCTTCCTCTATCTATCTTAAATTAAATCCTGAACTCAGATTTCAGACTATATTCAGCCAACACAACACAAAGATCATTTTCTGAGAAGAGACAACGAACTGTTCCAGGTTCAGAAATCTTTCATTTATATCCACTCTTCTTCTTCTTTTTTACTTCTTTTGTTGTTCTTTTGTTTTTGAAGAAATATAGAAACTTAGTTTTACTGAAGAAATACAGAAACTTTTTACGGTATTATGTTTTATGTTATTTCTTCCGCTTGCATCTATGCTCTGTATTTTTCTTGCTTTCGTTTCTCTTTTTATTCTTTTTTTATGATCTATATTTCTATTTTGTAGTGTTTACTATGGGACTGGAAACCCTTAAAATTACTGTGAGGGTCTTCTCTGTATCTATTGTTAGCTCAGCTACTGCCAAAATGATGTTAAGTTTTTATTTTTAATAAAAAAATTAGACTGTCTAATTATTGGACAACTAAGTTAACTTAAAGTATATGAAATACAAAATATTTTATCAAATAAATAGATTAAAAAAATGAGAGATTAATATAAGTTGGATTTCTCAATAGCAAGATGTCTGAGATTGAGAAAATTAAGCACAATTAGAAGAATATCTAGAAAGTGCAACAAAATTTTGATGAAATTTATCAAATAATTAAGGTATAATCAATTTTTTTTAATATAAACAGTCTAGGCAAACAACGTAATGTAGGACTTTTATTTTATTTTCCCCCGGTTTTTCAGCGAGGTAGGACCACCAGCTGCATAGTGGTAGTGGATCATACTAATCTTCTATCCTTTTAAGTTGGCCATTATTAGTCCTTTTGCTTCTGATCAGTATGCACACGCGGGTACTGAACAGTTCCCACGTGAATTGGCCCGGAAAAAGGGGGAAAAAAAAAAAGGTTCCCACGTGTCTCTATTCTTCATCTTCTGCCTCCTTTCTCCATCTTTCATCTTTACCATCCCAAGAAGCAAGATCTGGCCGAGGTAAAAGATGCAGAGTGGAACTGAGGAGGACGTGAAGCTGCTAGCTGTTGCAAATAGCCTCTATTATTCATCATTGTCTTCTTTGTTCTTTCTTTCATTTTCTACTTCCTCTTCTCTTGCCATCTTCTAGTTTTCCTTTTCAGTTTTTTTTTTTTAACTCTACTTCTCTCTTCTTCGTCTCCTATCTTTTAATTTTTCCTTTCCTTTTTCACAGTATTCTTCTTTTTCCCCCCTTCTCGTCTGGCAAAACTAGTGAACCGGCTGGTTTTACTTTCTAGGAACAATTATATTCAAGCACTGCTCATGAAAGTTATTCTCGAGCAGTCCTTGTATGCGATTTCTCCTACTTGTTTCGCTGGTATGGAGTTAGGATTTAATAATAAAGAGGGCTGAGATTAAAAAGCTTACTTCTTTTGAATCACAATATCAGTCGTTTTTAAAAGTTTTATTTAATTTAAAATATTGAGTATTAAACAGGTTTTATATATTTTATGTCAATTTTATTTTTACTTTATTGAATAATTAATGAAAATATTTTAAATAAATCAAATTTTATATTTATTATACTCAAGAGTAGATTAGAAAAATATATTTTTTTAAAAAAAATTAAGATTTTAACCACTATTTTAAAAGCATAAATTAATTAACAAAAATAAATATTATAGTCCAGAATCAATTTTTCTTATAATTGAGATTATTTCTTATAATTTTGGGTCAACTAACACTTTAAACTTTTTTGACGGTAGGATGTTTGGTACACCATTTTTAAATATTGAAAAACAAAATTATTTTTTTTATTTAAAAATGTAAAATATTTTTAATTAAATTTCACCATCAGTAAATTAATTATTACTTTTAAACTAACATTTTCTTTTCATACTCATCATTATTAAACACTCTACAATAAATATAAAGTCATTTATCAATGGGGGTATTTTTGAAAAAAATAATAATTATATTTTAAAAGATTAAAAATGTTTTACATTTTTTTAAAATTTAATTTTTAAAAAAATATTTTATATTTTTAAATGATTAGAATATGAGATATTTTTGAGCAAATAATTGGAGAAAAAAAAAATTTAACCCTATTTTTAAATAAATAAAAAAAGTTTAGACAGCCCCGTGGCTACGAAGTAGAAGATCCAACATAATGCAATGGTATAGAGTATAAATCCAACGTAATGTAATGTAGGACCCTTTTTTTTTTTTGGGCTACGTAGGATCAGCTATACATAGGGTAATAGCCTTCTTTCTTTTTTAGTTAACTTTTCATTCCATCAGTCTTTTGCTTCTCAGTTTGCAGAAGACTCCAAAGTACCCAACAGCTCCCTCCTTAAATATAGTAATAATCACACACCGATATCTCTATTGAGGTAGGCCATGTAATGAAGAGGATGCATGCATGTGAAGCTGCCGTCAAAGGTGTTCAAAATCGATTCAAATTAAAAGGATCGATCCAAACCAATCCAAACCGACAAAAATTGATCAAAACCGAACAACAATCAAGTCTGCTTCGGTTTTTATGATATAAAAACCGATTGGTTCGGTTCAAGTTTGGTTTTGAGTACTAGAAACCGAACCAAACCGAACCAAACTTGATTAAAAAATTTTATTTATTTATTTGTAAAATATATAACCATTTATCTACAAGAAGCATTTTGTTTTGAATTTTTTATAATAATAAATAAACATTTTTAAAATACTTGAATGAAAATGCATAATATTAAGTAATTATAATAATCATGCTATGATCATCATTTAATTATTTACAACCTAAAAGCCTCAGCATTCAATTTATCTACAAGAAACATTTTGTTTTGAATTTTATATAATAAGTTTTTCATTATTTATTAAAATATAGATACATAGATAAACATTTTCAAAGGATTTTAATGAAAATACATAATATTAAATAATTTTAATCTTAAAAACTTATATCAATTTTTATGATTAATTATTATTATCACATTAAAATTTTATTATATTTTTATACCTCTATTTATGAAAAAAAAAAGAGTCAAAAAGAATTAAATTTAATTTTAGTACATAGCACCATTATGAAGATGGAGAAAAGGAAAATAAATTAAACAAGTGCATTAAAACTTGATCAAGACTTTAACCAAACCGAACTAAACCGAAAATAAAACCGAACCAAACCGAACTTCATAAAAATCGATCAGGTCTCAATTATCAGTAAACCGAATGGTTCGGTTCGGTTTGGTTTTTGCTCAAAATTAAATCAAACTGAATTTATGAACACCCCTAGCTGTCGTTGCCAAGTGTCTCTATGCCACTATTCATCCTTGTCTTGTTTTCTCTGTTCTTTCTTCAATCTTGGTATTCCATCTTTTCCATTCCTTCTTTTGAGTCTTCCTCCTTTTCTTCCTGTTGACCGACACAACCAGTCAAGCAGCTGCTTTTACTGGTTTCCCCCGGTTTGTTGACTGGTTTCTCCAAACACCCCCAATTCCTTGGCCAGTTTTGGACTGACAGATTCCGGTATGGGTTTTAAGTTATTGTAGGTTCAAATAACTCTATCCTTGAACAAAATATCCTCACCACCTCCTTTCTCTCCCACTCTCTCATAATCCATGTGAACTACTCTTATCCTATTTTATAAAACATTTTTGTTAAAAAAAAATTTAGGCGAGTTGAATTCTGAATAATTATCAAGGTACATACAAATCACTTATCAATAAAATTATCACATTGACTATCAGATTTTAAACCCATAATCATATGATTTATATGATCAAAATTTTTGCAACTAGACCAACCTTTGTTGGATTTACAAGACATATTTTGATAAGAATATTGTGAGTACCAATGAAATCGATTAGACGAAGCTTGGAATCTTAATTTTTTATTGAACATCCAAATATATCTTTCATTTAACAAGAAAGACTAAGGTTTTGAAATTATTTTTATTAATGAATCATTATTTTTTTAAAACATGTTATATTATAGTACAACAAATCACTACCCAAAAAACATCTTATAAGATGGAGCAGATGGAGTAGTTATTTAGCTCCTACATTTATTAGCAGAATTTTTTTAAAAAAAAAATATATAACAGCTTTCTTCTTCTGTCATTTGGCTAATAGCAGGTTGGGATTCAGTATTCAATGGGATCTAATACAAAATTATCCGGTTCATCAAATCCTAAGTATGAGATAGTGAAAAACATTACGATCGATATAAAAACTGAACTGGAAGATCCAATGATGAACACAAGTAAGTGTAACATCTACAGAGTCCCATGCAATCTTCGGAAGCTGAATGAGGATGCCTACACTCCTCAGTTGGTTTCAATAGGACCACTTCACTATGATCCGAAAGAGCTAAAACCAATGCAAATGCACAAACTTCACTACTTGGATCTCTTCAAGGAACGTGTCAAGGGCAAAATTGGAGCCCTGGTCAAGTTCAAGGACTTCCTTGAAGAAAAAGAAGAAGACATACGCCAATGCTATGCAGAAAAGCTGTTGCCCGAGATCACGCCGCAGAAGTTGGTGGACATGATGTTATTGGATTCTGTATTCATCATGGAACTATTTCTGAGGATTCAGGAGAAAAAAGAAGAAGAAAACAGTGATTATGTTATACTGAAACAAACATGGCTGAACAAGAGTATCCAGAGAGACTTGCTTCTGCTTGAAAATCAGATTCCATTGATCATCTTGGAAGAGTTATACAACTCTGTCGTCCCTGCCTCCGTTAACAAGCGTTGCAGATTCATTGAGGTCGCTTACAATTACTTCAAGTGTTTTCATCCTTATAAACAAGATTCGGATCATCCCGAGCCCTCATCGGGGTTTGAACAAGTGAAGCAGAACTGGAAAAATAATGCCCCATTACATTTCACTGATTTCATCAGGTATGTACTTTTATCTCCAAAAGCACTGCATTTAATTTCCAATAGTAATCTTGATATTCAAATACTGTTTATTGCGATTACAGTGACTTTTTTTTTCCCCCCCGAAAAAAGGACTAGTCATCTTGATTGTACAAAACTCTCTCTCTGTTGAGGAATTTAAAGCATCTTTTGAGGGTTTGGCTATTAAAAAAGTATAACATTTTTAGTGTTTTAAAATATAATTAATGTGCCTTTTTTTAAAAAGTATTTTAAATAAATAAATGACTTTATATTTATTTTAAAGTAAAATATATAATTAAATACGGATAAATATAAAAAAACAATGTTAATTTGAAAATAATTAATTATTTTATTGGAGTGAGATTCGGTTAAAAATATCTTACACTTTTTAACAAAGAAATTACTAATTATATATTGTTACATTCCTATCATTATAATAATTAGATCGATAATATTTCGTATAGTTTTTTTAATAATTTCATCGCTACAGTTTAAAAATTTATAAATAAGTTCAGGTTTTATTGGTTGGCTTTTCTTCATTTAGATTTCCCTCTTATTCCTCTCCATGGAACATCTCAACCATTGTATCAAATTTTAAACAAACTACATTTAATATTTTAAAAAATATTTTTAATATTTTCACCAAAGTTTCGAACTATTGAAATCAAGTTTCAGAAGTTTGAAAATATTTCTTTATCACTAATAATAACGACGACGACGACGACAACAACGACAATAATAACAGCAGCAGCAACAAATTGACTAAATCTTGTGAGGATATTATTTGACCAGGTACTTCTACCTTTGTAAGGAAATGACTGGTCATCAAAAAGTGTCGTCCTCCTGTGTTCTAAGGACTGCAACCAAGTTGCAAGAATCTGGAGTGAGCTTTGAGAAAGTCACCGATCGATCCTTAGCTGACATAAAGTTGGAGAAAGTTAAAATCTTGAGTTGGTTTTTGTGCTTGGGTTGTCTACCAAAATCCTCGTACTTCAAAGCTCGTTTACAAATCCCACAGTTAAAAATAGACAACACAACAGAATGTGTTCTCAGAAACCTTATAGCCTTCGAGCAGTGTCATTACTCGGATCAACCTTACATCTGTAACTATGTCTCTCTCATTGACTCTCTCATTCACACGAAAGACGATGTTGAATTGCTGGTTGAGAAGGAAGTCATTGTCCATGAACTTGGGAGTGACAAGGAAGTGGCGACCCTGGTGAACAGTCTCTGCAAACATGTTGTGGTGAACAAGACATGCTATAACAAGATTACATATGATCTGAATAAACATTACCAGAATGAATGGTATCGTACAATGGCTTCGTTGAGATTGGTATACTTTAGAGACGCTTGGAGGGCAAGTTCTACTTTGGTCGGAATTGCTGTCCTGGTGTTCACAATTTTCAACTTTTGCCGAGTTGTTAGATTGGTCCTGGACCTTGATCAAAGGCGACCTTAATTAGTTGTGTTGTAGCATATATGGAATCTTTGAATTATAAGTGACTAAAATGACACTGTCGATCGTGTGATAAGTAACGTGAGAAGATGTTCGCTAGTGTTTTGTTCAGATTTTGGTGAATAATGTGTGATCTTGATAATATGTATTGTTCGTGGGTGTGTCTGAAACTAAATGTAGAAGTTTAAATGTACGGCTTCAATTATTGGTTGAATAAGTAAAGCATTCATGGCGCTACTTTATTTCTGTGAAATTTCTAATTGACTTGTATATATTCTAGTTGTCAATATTATGATAACAAGTTTTAAAAATTTAAATAAGGATTAAGTCTTTTTTATTTTTTTAGTACTACCTTACAAAAGATGACTACTGAAAGTTAAAGGCATGTTAGAAAATTACTGATATCGAGCTGACAAAAAACAAAAGTTGTGTTTTTCGTAAGAAATCCTCACAAAAGGATGACTACTGAAAAATCGAAGGTCTAGTTGGCCAAGAAAGAAAAAGGAAAAATCAAAGGTTTGTTAGAAATTTGTGGAAATTTAGTTTAAAAAAAAAACAAAGATAGGTTGATTTTTAAGTAATGCCCACTTGTGACTACTTGGGAAAAATAAATCAAGGGAAAATGATATTTAAGGACTTTTAATAATATTAAGTATAGTTAAAGACCTAAAATTAAGAAATTTTATAAAACGATCATGACTTTTAGTTGAGATTAAAAAAAATATTGATTGTTGTTCAGTACTTACCTTTCATAGTTTCAGCACTCATTTTTTATAGTCATCTTTAATATTTTTCAATACTCATTTTTTTCATCTTAGATGTTTTCAATGCTTATCTTCTACGGTTTTAATACATACTACAAAAATTTAAAATAAGTTTTTTTTTCAATACTGAAAAAATGGAACATGAGTGTTACAAATGTCTAAGGTGAAAAAAAAAATATGAGTACCAAAGATCTTAAAGATGAATATATAAAATGTAAAAGAGGAGTATTGAAAATATAAAAGAGGGTGCTAAAAAATTAACTTAGAAAGATGCAGTTTGGGTCCAGATGATTTAGTGTTTGTAAATTCCTGGGGGCAAGATCCCAAGTAATTTTGACCATCATAGGTGGAGTGTAAAGGAAGTGATCTTAATTAGCTTGGTCTTTGATTCAGTAGTTAAGGCTTTTAGATTTTTCTTAATTAATACTCTTTTAATTATTTGAAGGCATTTTATCTAGTGTTGAATTTGGGCCTCAAAAGTTCTACATTCGTTGCAAACAATGTGCATACAAATTTGGTTGAAGCCGGCCAAATATACATTCATTTAATAAGAGAGAGAGCAGAAGATACTCACTCTATCTCTGCATATAAAGTATCTTTTAAAAATTTATTTTATCATTAAAAATAATAATAATATTTTTGTATAATTAAATAATTTTATTCTTATCTTAAAAAATAAAATATATTATTAATTGTATATTTTCTCTACTACCATCGTGATATTAATTATGATATTATTAAGAGTAAAATTAAAAAATTATTGTATTTTTATGTGAATTCAACTAAATAACAAACATTTATTAGTATGTGAAATTCGATTAAAAATATCTTATATATAAGGACGGAGGGAGTTTATATTTAAAAAATTTGTAGCCTTCATTGAATAAGAAATTTTTAAGTAAATCAAATACACCATGTCATTTATAATTTGTTCAATTAAAATGCTAAGTAATCTTGTTAAGTTAATTATGATTAGGTATTAAATATAAGTATATCTTTCAATTATAATTTAAATATTAATTTATCACATTGTGAGGGACTATCCCATTAAGACCTAACCCATTAATTATTTTAATAATTATTTATTTTTTATTACAAATAAAGATCATAATCTTTCCATGACATTTCAATATAATTCAAGGTCATTAATGTCTCTACCAGATCTCTAATTGTCCTCTTTGAAAAAAAAAGATTTTTTTTTTCTACTACCTGCCCTTTAAATAAAAATACTTATTTAAAGGATTGAAACTCTAATTACTCACGTTAACTTGAAATTATTTTAAATATAATTATAATCACTTCACCTGCAATCAGACTAGCAAGTTAGTCGTATAATCACTAATGGCTGATTCACATTTTGGTAATATTTAATTAATTTCTTAACTGATTTTTTTAAATTTAATTAAATATAGCTGTAAATCACATGGGTTGTCATCCCAAGGCCTACAATCGTGCGGGTCAAGAGCTCTGGACTGGCCGGTGGTGAGGGAGGATCATTTTTTTACTTTGCCAAACGGCCACTCGTTTAATAATGGATTAAATGCCACACATAATTAGAATGACATATGCTAAAACGAGATGGGTGACGTCACTCAAAATCGTCAATTCAATATTAATATAAAATATACTCCCTCCGTATAAAAATATAATACATTTTAACCGAATCTCACATTTTAATAAAATAATTATTTACTTTTAAATTAATCATATTTTTTATATTTAATCCTATTAAATACCCTATAATAAATATAAAGTCATTATTAATAGGACAATTTTAAAAAAATAATCATTACACTTTAAAAGATTAAAAATACCTTACATTTTTAAACATTCAACTTCTTAAAAAATGCCTTACATTTTTAAATGGAGGGTTTAACTCAAGACAAATGACAGTGATACCTTTAGACTAAAATTCATGACACATAAATATCGTACAATTTTAAATTTTAATTAGTTAAGGACTTTGTTTCTTTTATTGAAATAATAAATCAATTGATAAAAATATCCTTATTTACATGTAAGTTAAAAAATTTACCGAGTTAGATTAGAAAATCAAATGCTAAATTGAAATATAGTTTTTTATTTACCTTTTTTGTGCTCTATAAGGCAGGGATTGAAATGAACTAGGTAAGGCTAGAGTCGGTTTTGGTTTTGTAAGCCTAAACCAGTATGATAAGCCTAATTTTTCAGATGTGAATGCTTAAAAATAAAAGATAAAAGGAAATAGAGATAAAGAAAATTGAAAGAATTGCGCATGATGGAAGTAAACACGAGATTGTCACTGTTATAAAAAATATTATAGAAAATTTAAGATAGAAAATCAGGAGAAAAACATAGGAGTGACGGTGTTGTGGTTCCACCAGGTGCTACTGCTCTACTAATTATTGGACTCGACTTTTCTTTATTTATTTTTATTTATTTTCCCTTCACTTATCATTTCAATCATTGAACCTATTTTAAATAATTAAAATTTTAATATTTTATAAAATTATTATTATATTTATTTTTTATAAAAATTCACATTTAAATAAAAATAAAAAATACTTATAGAAAGGATTGAAGCTCTAATTACTCACATTAACTTGAAATTATTTTAATTATAATTATAATCACTTCACCTGCAATCAGACTAGCAAGTTAGTCGCATAATCACCAATGCCTGACTCACATTTTGGTAATATTTAATTAATTTCTTAACTGATTTTTTTTAATTTAATAAAATATAGCTGTAAATCACATGGGTTGTAATCCCAAGGCCTAAGATCGTGCGGGTCAAGAGCTCTGGGCTGGCTGGTGGTGGGGGGGGATCATTTTTTTACTTTACCAATCTGCCACTCGTTTAATAATGGATTAAATGCCACACATAATTAGAATGACATATGCTAAAATAAGATAGGTGACGTCACTCAAATTCATCAATTCAATATTAATATAAAATATATTCCCTCCATTTAAGAATATAAAATATTTTTAACTGAATCTCACCTCTCAATAAAATAATTACTTACTTTTAAATTAATCATATCTTTATATTTAACCCTATTAAATGTCCTATAATAAATATAAAGGCATTATCAATATGAGTACTTTAAAAACAAAGATAATGATTACATCTCAAAAGATTAAAAATACTTTATATTTTTAAATATATAACTTCTTAAAAAATATCTTATATTTTTTAACAGAAAGAGTACAACTCCAGGAAAATGAAAATGACACCTTCATTTCCTCCCTTCTCCACTTTTCATTTCAACCATTGAGTGTGTGTTTGTTTTTCAATTTACTAAAAGTTCATTTGGTGAAAATCAGTTTAATAAAAGTCAGTTGTTGTAATAAAATTTGTATTTGGATATATTTTTTTTAAAAGTCAATTTGATACAGTGAAAGTTGTTTGATTTGTCGTATGAAATATGCTTTTAAATGTACAATTATTAAAAAGGACATTAATTTTTGATGATTTATAATTTTTATTATACAAATGTAATATATTTAAAATATTTAAAAAATAATAAAAATTTTAAACAATATAAATTTTGATCTATAATGCTAAAAATTTGATCTCTAGTTATTTTTTTTAATTTATAATTTTAGAAAATGTGATAAAGATTTATAATTTTTATTATACATTAATATTACAAAATAACATGATTAATTATTCAATTCAGAATGCTAAAAACTTGATACCTAATTATTATTATTGAAATAATAATTATATTTTTAATAAATTAACTATTTTTTAAATAAAAAAATAAGAGATTAAACTTGAGATAGTATGGTCAAATAATATTCTACTTTTTAAATTCACTTTTCAAAAGCTCTAAATAGTTATGTTTCAAAAATTCACTTTCAGCTATTGTTTGAATGTACTTTTAGGATATTCTTTCCTATAAAATATTTTACCCAAATAACTTTTAACTTCCTGAAAGTATATTTTTTTCGAATTATAATATAAATTATTTTTTAAAAATTTTATTTGATTCAAAATATTAGACGTTAGACAGTATCACATATATTTTTTCTAATTATGCCTTTATTTTATTGAATAATTATGATGATATTTTGAATAAGCTAAATGTTATATTCATTATACTCAATAGCATGATTGAAAAAATATAATTTTTTTTAAAAATCAAGATTTTAATCACTTTTTTTAAAACATAAATTAGTTAACGATAATAAATATTATAGTCCAAAGCATATACTACTAAGTTTTTATAAATTTTGAAGATATATAATCTTTATATAATACTAAAAAAATTAAAAATTAGGAGAGCCGCAACCCTTACCGGACCCCCTTCTTTCCCCCTTACTGGCCTCAATTTGTTGACTGGTTCCCCGTGTCCTTGACTTAATTGGCTTCTCTTGGACTGGACTACAGGCCCGTTCGTAGACTGGCAAGTTTCAATCTAAATTTTACATTGTTGATTCAAATAACTGTTGATTCAAATAACTATATTGTTGAAGAAAATATCCTTCTTCTCA